CCATGACGAGGTTTTCTGGGAGAGGGTTCGGTTCACCAAGTACGAGCAGGTTTCTTTCGAATCAAACGTAGTCATTCTTTAACACTGGTCGCTGCGCCCTGCACTACTCATCGGCAGACTGTTATTTCTATCTGTGTTGCCGTCAGTTAAATTCTAGATCCACACTCCAGTTTAAAAGAGGTACACATCATCGACGAAGACAAAAGACTGATCTAAAAAATCCACATTTCTAGATTTTAGGTCCTGCAAAGGCCATTTCTATCAAAATGCTATGATAATAGGATCTAATGACAAAACCAAATCGCCGTGCGCTATGCATGCAAACTACATGTACGCAGTAGATGAGTACGTAATCAAATGCCCTCAAGCGCCAAACGACCGACAACACACTTTTTTCGGACATCAAACACATGAAACTTTTCCTTTTGTACAAAGCCAATAACAATGCCGTGCAAGACGGTTGCAATGGAGAAGGTCATTACTAAGTTCCCTTCCACTCGGGGAACTCATCATCGAGCTTCAGGCGAGCAGTCACGTTCATACTCATCAATTCCTGAATGAGAAGCTTGGCCGCGTAGGGGATTGTCATCTTCACGACGCTCCGAGAGGACTTGCACCGCTGACACCAGTTCAGATAGCCCATGAACCCGCACTGCTCGCAGACGTCGATCTCGTGGCGATCGGAGGAGATCATGAGACGCTCGAGAAGCAGTTGGCTGGTTCCGTAGGCGATAAGACAATCACGCTCCATCTCTCCCAGACGGAGACCACCGTCTCGCGAACGACCTTCCGTGGGCTGACGGGTCAGAATTGCGCGAGGTCCGCGCGCACGCGAGTGCATCTTGTCTTGCACCATGTGCTTGAGCTTCTGATAGTAGATGGGGCCGGTGAAGACGTAGAATGGAAGGGCTTCGCCGGTGATACCAGACGTGAGATAGTCTTTGCCTCCGTAACTGAAGCCGTGGTCGATCAGAATCCGCGAGGCCTCCTCCACAGGGGTGCCGCCGAAGCAGGTTCCGTAACCGTGGTGACCAGCAAGCACACCAGCTTTTCCAGCAACAAGTTCCAGCATTTTCCCAACTGTCATTCGGGAGGGGAAACCATGCGGATTCATGATAATGTCAGGATTGATACCGGCATCCGTGAACGGCATATCAGCCTGGTCGGCTATGATACCAACGACACCCTTCTGACCGTGGCGAGAGGAGAATTTGTCACCTACTTCCGGTCGACGGGTTTGGCGAACAAGAACCTTGACGAGTTGGTTCTCGTTCTCCTGTACGGAATACATGACCTTGTCAATGTATGCTGGGTCATGAAGCTTGTAAGTCATGGGCGTCGGTGTATACTGAACTGGTCGGCCAGCATCGGAGCCAATTCCCGATAGGTTGGATTGCTCGGGTGTGCTCTTGTTGATATAGACTTCGCCGGCATTTACTTGTTCACCGACAGCAGCCAGACCATCCGCTTCAAGAAGTGCATGCTTTCTGATGGGGGCACCATTCTCGTACGTTGGTGGATTGAGTCTGTCCTTTGTACCGTTCGAATAACTCTTCAGGTTGGTCACGTACTTCCGGTACACTTGGCAACGACCGAAGCCACGATCGACGGAACCCTTGTTCAAAACCAGCGCGTCCTCAATATCGTATCCGGAATAACTCATGACCGCCACCATAGCATTCTGACCGGCGGGAAGTTGATCATACTTGACTAGTTCAATTGTGCGTGATTTGACCATGGGCTTCTGTGGGTACACCATGAGGTAGAGGATAGAATCGATCCGAAGGAACTGGTTTGATGCGATGGCTCCAATAGCTTGTTTACCCATCGCACACTGATATGTGTTACGGGGCGATTGGTTGTGGTGCGGGTACGGGATCAAACCAGCGACGGCTCCAAGCACCGTAAAGGGTTCGATCTCCAAATGTGTCGTTGTATCTGTGATGTCTTTCTCATAAATAGCGATCAAGGAGTCGTTCTCCTCATTGACATCGAGGTATTCGACCAACCCCTGAGCTAAGAAATCATCGAATTGCATCGTGCCATCACGCAATTTCTCCAAGTGGCCGACTGTGACGAGGGACTTGCCATTCTCAACAACGATGAGAGGCCTGCAAATCCGTCCATCGTCAGTGGCGATATGCACTGCACATTGGTGATGGTTGATGTAAATGCTGACAAACTCCGAGATACGACCCATGCGCCGTAATCTGCGGAAAGCGTTGAGGAAATATTTAGGGCGACGAGTGAGTGCTATCGGCGTTCCGTTGATGGAAATTGTGTAGCTGCCGGGGGTATATAGCTGTTTACCACCCAGGGCCAGAATGTCTTCAGCCCCAAGCATAAAAACGAGGTTCTTAATTGGGCCTTCCTCATCATTTGTCGTGATATGGGTCATGAGGGCCAAATTCTTTACCAAACCACAGGCTTCTCCTTCAGGGGTATCTGCCGGACAGAGCATACCAAATTGAGACGGCTGCAGAGCTCTGGGACCACTGACTTTTCTGGTCTTTTCGAACTGACTGCTGATACGGGTCATCATACCCAACGCGGCGATGTAGCTAAGCCGACTTAGAACGTGGGTAACACCAGCACGCTCCATGCGGAAACGTTTCAAACTCCAGTTACCCGTCGAAATGGCACGGTTCATGCCCTGAGTAATATGGTTGCTGTGCATACTCATGACGGTCCACGCATCGAATTGTTCGGCGCGGTTGCGCTTATTCAACACTTTATCGATGTTCATTTTGATGTCGAAGCAGAATTTCTTGAACAGATCTTCAAAAAGGAGAGCAAGAAGCTGCCCAGCCAATTCCAGACGTTTGTTTCCCAGGTAGTCACGATCATCGACCAGAGAGGGGTCATTCTTGGCCATCAGAACTCGACGCGCCATGTGAGCGACGTATACCGCCTTCGGCCGGAAGTTCATATTCTTGACTTCAATGTGGGAAATGATGACAGAGGCGATAGCCTCGACGGCTTCTTGAATGTGAGTTCGACGATAAGACGACTGTTTCCGGTTGATCTTAATCCGTGCACCGATCCAGTCCAACGCTTGTTGTTGAGTGTAGATTCCCAATTTGATGCTGTCTTCGAAGTTGATGGCAAAGTCATCCTGGTAGAGGCTGTCGACACCAGCAACTAGGAGCAACATCTCCTGCTCCGTGTGTATACCCATGGCTCTCAGAAGAATTACGATGGGGATGTCTTCACTGAGGACGTTGTGCTTCACGTAAAGCTTGTCCTTCTTGAGGATAATATAACTCTTGGACTTACGCTCGTTGGACGAACTGCAGTCGCAGGTCAGATAAGCGGGAAACCAAAATAATATGAGCCGAGAACACAAAGAACAACTCACCTAGTGACGGACGCCTGAACAATTTCTTTCTTCGGGTCGGTTTCGACAATGATTCTGTTCTTGCTCAACTGCTCTTGGACGAGAATAACTTTCTCTGTGCCGTTGACAATGAAGTATCCACCAGGGTCCAGAGGACACTCGTTCAACACCGTCATCTCCGAGGGAGTCTTGTTCGCCAACACACACTTTGAGCTTCGAAGCATGATTGGCATTCTGCCAATCGACACGCCTTTCCGAGTGACCCTTTGACGCCCACGAATGTACTCGAAATTGACCAGAATAGGGGCCGCATAGGTTGTATCACGGAGGCGGCACTCGTGCGGCGAAACGGTCGACGGGGTTGCATCGGGGGTGACATCCTGGGCCTCGTCCGCACGGCACGGCGAGCCGACGTAGATATCTGTAAACTTGATATAAAAGGTGTGGTCGATGTCGCTACGGATAGTAGAACTGGACTCGACGATCTTCTTCAGTTGCACTTCGATAAAGTAGTTGTATGAGTCAATGTGCTGCTTCACCAGTCCTTTCACCTTTAAGAAAGCCGGCAACAGGTTCCATTTATCCTTGGCAGTGTTGATTGGGTCCGTAAGAGATTTGTTATAGTAGAACGGTTCGAGAAGCGCGTCGAAGGGATCTCTATGACGGTAGGTCGGTCCTGAAGGGTCATCCGCGCGATCATCCTGCTCGACATTCTCCGCGGCCGGTGCTGGGTTTGTAGTTGGTTTCGACTGGATAGAACGTCTTCTCTTGCTAGAAGCGTCAGTAGATCCTTTCCTAGAAGGAGCTGCAGACTGTTTGAATCCGATATAAATCGTTAGCACGACCAAAGATACTGAGACGGTTGTGCGGAGAAACTTTTGCCATACCTCAGAAGGCTGCGCAGATCGCGTCTGACTGGCCGCAGGGGGCTGTGGCCTCCTACGAGGAGGCATTGACGCTGTAGAAATACAAGATGCTGCGATATGGTTGTGATAAATGAGGAGTCTAAAAAAAGACTATTGAGGAAATATCATGGTGTTTCAGAAATGTTTGCTGGGCGAATTTCTTATCGTCGAGGGGAAGATCCGAAATCACCATTAGAAATTCCATGTAGAGCAGAGGGGCGGGTTATGTAAGCAGAACAGCTCTCTACAAAAGGCTAGGCAAGGCAAAGCTTACAAACTTGGTGTTAACCAGTTATGGCAGGGATATTCGAATACAGCAGTGGCTCTCTTATAGTTCCATTTTTGGCCTTTCATCCATCTCCTACGAAATGCCTGTGCAAACAGAGCTTTCAAAGAGTGAGGGTATAGACAACGTCATCCCAACTCAATCTATAAGGGTTCAACATTGAGAGATACAGGATGAGTTGCCTTTTGCCTATCCGGATTCACAACAGAAACCTGTGATGGATAATACCTTCAATTTCTAGCGGACATGCAATTTTGTCTATTGACTACCGTAACCATTCGACAATTTGAAACAATGTGAGACTAGCTGAATCATGGCTGAACACCAAGGGAAGAGAGGCTCCATCAAATGGCCTCGAGTGAAAGTATAACTTGTGAGACCGCTGGGTAACAATGCCTTCCAGAAATGCTATAGTGGTGCTGCAAAAAGGCATGAAATTGTATAAAGGGAGGGAAATCGATCCTAGACAGCTTCAAGGGTTGTTCTTCTCATGCTGTGTTGAGACCCTTTGAAGCGAGACCACTGGTTGGAGTTACTCATATGCACGATCAATAGAGTGACTGCAGGTAAACTTACCGAAATCCTCGAGAGATCTCTGTTTCACGCTTCGGCTAAAGCTTTTGCCATTCATAAGATTGTCAAAGCCCGTCGAGCCCTGCAGCAGGTAATAAAGGCCACCCATGATGCAGAAAACACCAAACGAGAAGACCCAGATACGGACAACAGCAACAATCGAGGTTTGGCCGCCGACGAACCAACCGAATATGCAGAAAAACGTAGCCACGAGATCGACAACTAGAATGGCTCCTGTCAATTGCCAAGAAGGCATTGATGACCAGAAGGGCCCATTCGCACGGGTGATGAAAATGAGCCAATTCTCGGTCAGTGATATCTCGAGGAACAGAACCTCGTCGCGTTCTCCAAAATTCTGGATGATGCCACCTTCTTCGCCACTGTTCATGATAGTGGTAAGTGCAACCCAAGTCCCTGCGGCAAGTACAAGACCAAGAAGAATAGACATACCCCATAGCTTGGGGAGGTTCCACTTCACAGGGGTCTTGGAGTACGGAGCGTTATCGTAGGCAATGGCAAGTGTGGCAATATCAGCAAAGATGGCGATGAAAACAACGAGCTGTAGGTTGAGACTTTCGTTCAAGATTGCAATCCACAAGCCGAGAAAAATCTCGAGGTGCAACGACAAGGCTATCCGATACACCACATATGCGTACATGCGGTGAAATATCTGACGTGAAGTCTTCAATGCATCAATTATGGCAGACAAGCCGGGAGCAAGAAAGACAATATCAGCAGCAGAGCGCGCCGCATCAGAGGATCCTTCAACAGCAATACCAGTATCGGCTTTCTTGAGTGAAGGGGCATCGTTGACGCCGTCACCCGTCATTGCCACAAGGTATCCACGTTGCTGTAGAATCTCCACAACGTTGTATTTGTGCTGCGGAAAGACCTCCGCGAAGCCGTCGGCAGCTTCGACAAAGTCATACACCTCTGATCCAGGCATTGTTCCTCCACCTCCAAGACCGAGCCGCTCCGCGTTATACACATTGGTGCCGAGTCCAAGTTGACGCGAAGTCTCTCGAGCGATTCCAACAGCATCACCGGTTAGCATTTTGATCGAGAGGCCCAGGCTCTTCGCCTCACTAATAGTTTTCGCAGTATCGTACCGTGGAGGGTCGGAACATGGCATGATACCGAGTATCTCCCAACTGCCCTGATCGCGTTTGCGAGCAACCCCAAGCGAACGGAAACCGCGAGTTGCAAATTCAGCGACTTTATTCTTATATGCGGTATCAATCTCCTCTGGAATGGGATGGTCCTCCTCGACGGTCTTGAGAACGAACAGAGGAGCGCCTTTGACACAGGTCATTCGGCGACCCTGGGGCGACTGCACTACAGCCGTGACTTTCTTTGAAACTGGATCAAATGGATGGAATTCCAGCACCTTGTATTGCGTAAGCGCAGCTTTTGCACACGGATAATGTCGGAGTGCTTTGAAAAATGCTTTGTCAATGGCATCCATGCCCTTCTTCTTCCTCGAGGCAGCCAAGCAAGCAGTCAACATGAGATCGTCCGGTTCAACCCCAGCAACAGTGTATGGCTCTGACAATGATAGCTTATTTTTGGTCAGTGTGCCAGTCTTGTCAGAGCAGAGGATCTCGACACCAGCCAGAGACTCAATCGCCGATAATCTTTGCACAATGGCCTGTTTCTTAGCTAGGTACGCAGCGCCTACCGCCATTGTAGTCGTGACAACGGCAGGGAGACCGACAGGTACACCGATAATAGTAATGGCCAAGGTGAACTCGAGTATCGTAATGATGCCATTTGAGCGGTAAAAAGACGAAACCCACACAACAAGCAAGGTTATGATGACCAGGACAAGGAGGACAGCGCCGATACCATTGAGCACTTCAGTGAAGTGGCCTGATCCAGAGGATGCAGCATTAACTAATGCGGCAGCCTGTCCGACAAAGGTATAATCACCAGTGGCAGTAACAACGATCATTGCTCGACCACGCTTGACGGCAGACGATGCGTAACAGGTATCCCCTTTGTGTTTATCGACTGCCAGAGATTCACCAGTGATCGAAGATTGGTCCACCTGGATAAGGTTGGACGACACTATCCGGCCATCGGCCGGTACGATTGTGCCCTTCTCCAGTCAGCAGAGCTCATCGTTCATCTAAAGTTGGAGCTTTGGTAGTACAATACCTCCTCGATTCTGACTATATCTCCAGGCACGATGTCCGCGGCGTCAATTTCATTGAACTGACCTTCGCGGCAGACAATTGCTTTGAGAGCGAGTGTTTTCTTGAGCTCATCGACAATAGATCCCGCCTGAAATTCCTGAATAAAGCCCACAGATGCGTTGAGCAAAAGAAGCGCACATATGACACCGAAATCGACCCAATCTCGAAGCCCGGCGGCCAAGACAGCAGCACCCTGTGCGCACAGAATCAGTCGTCTTTCTGAAGTGATTGACATAAGCAGCATGGTTACCTCCATTACAAACTGGACAGGTCCAACGAAGAAGGACAAAAATTTGAGCAGAAGGTTTTCCTTTTCTTCCTTCATCCTATTGGGACCGTACTTTCTCCGTCGATGCTGAGCCTCGATTTCGCTGAGACCTTTTTCTGGGTCTGTCTGCAGCATCTCATCGGAAACACGACGAGTAATGACACCTGTGTCAATGGCTATATCATCATCCATGTCAACGTCACCGTCCACTGTTTGGAGATCGTCAATGAGAGCGTCCATGTTCTCCTCTTCCGCATCTTCATCATCGTCCTCGTCTGTAGGGATCGGTTTCTTCTCATCCGGCATGCTGGCCACAAGAGGGCTTTTGGTGTTCACACCACTGAGCCGGCGAACAGGCACTGTGTTTTCCTGGTTCAGAAGGGCCCCAAGAGGGTCCCTACCGAACTGACCGACCATAGTGAAAAGATAAGACAGTAGAAAAAGTAGACAGATTGAGATCTATAACGTATAGAAGTACACAATATGACTCGTGGAACAATCAACGATAGAGCTTAAAGAACCGTCTCTAATAGCGAGTAGAAGTAGGTGTTCACAGAGCCACCCAAACAAGACACCACAGAGGATGGGATTCATGGAGGAAGGTGCAGCCATCCCATTCAGGAAAGGAAGCAACGTTAAGCAAATAAAGGAAGGGCCCCATCGTCTCCTTCTTCGCAACGTTAAATCAAGGAGGCAGAAAATGAGGGTTTAAAGCTATGAGTGAAGCAGGAGAGGATGGAGAAGCTGAATCGGCCAAGTATCAGGTGTTTTATTACCTCCTCGCGAAGGCCCCGTCTAACCATCCGGTTTCTGTGTCCAGTTTCTTTTAAAACCTAGTTTACCGCCTGACTCTTCCATCCTTACATTGAGCTTCACATGCACGCAATGCCTCCATTGACGATTTGAGTGGGGATATGTGTCCATTCTCAGTCTGGAAGCTAAATACTCTGTAGTTTGTTTCGACGATGGAGAAGTTAATTTTGCAGACACCTATGATTCAAGCATGATAGGAACACATCTAAAAGAGCACCAGCGAGGCAATATGAATGAAAGACTGCATTTGAAGTACAAAACAGGAGATTTACCGTATTCCCTTCTCGCTTATTGAAGCCATTGCAATCATGTCGACAGATCCTCGATCCAATCTCTGATGCTGCAGTCGAACGCAGTGTAAGAAAGACTCGTCTTGCTGCCAAGGACCCATGTATGGAGAACCCTTTGCGGTCATCATAAGCGACCGATCATAGAGAATGAGGTACGTTCTAAATGAAAACCTTTCCCCATGATGGATCGCATTGAGGAAATAGTACTGACACCTCCATTCCGCCAATTGGGGATCCTCCCACAGAACCTCCGCTTACGTAACCGGGCTTCTGCTGTGGACGTCATTGCGGCCAAGGGCACACAGCTCCCTCTGATGAATCTATATCAGAGAAGTTTCACAGCCAGCAAATAAACTTGAATAAAGTGATTTCTGGGGATACATGCATGCTCCTCTGAGAGTCAAGCTACAACAAAACTAACATCGCTAAAAATCCACTTCTGCAAATTTGCACTCCATGAAAACGCTATTTCTGTGGCTTCGGCGGGCTCAGCTCACCTTCACTTGATAATCTTCATAATTCGGGTATATTCAAAGAAAATTCCCTGCGTAAACCGAAGTCCTAATTGTTAAGTCATAGTCCTGGCCGTTGCCTATCCTTGGCTCGGCACCATGAATCGGGAGATTCCAGGGTTCTACTATGGTACGTGAATGTTCTCTCATGACGGTCTACAGTCAAAGGTTATATCTGCAAGCTGGGGCTCTTGACTTGAACTCTCATTGATACCATACAGATCCCGAGAAGAAGAAATATTTCAAGATCCAGGCCAATCATAAAGTCGCCCCAGGCGCACAGTACTCAAAGGATGCAGTCAAGAGGAAACGGGTCGAGCATGAGGTTGTAGACTTGATCTTAAGCTTCCAGATGGACCATGGAACTTACTATTTGCTAGAAACGCCAGAGGAAAGTCCACCTCGGTCGGAGACTGGCAAAGGAGAAAGTCAGAAGGTCACCGTTCGTGCGAAGTCCCCTTCTCGGAATTGAACGAGAAATCGGAGCGCAACAGATATCAAAGCCCTTGCGACAAGAGCAACAAGGTCTCACGTATGCTAGCCAAATCAGTCGAAAACAGTTACATCGATTTGAACCGTGGCCAAGTGATTACACCATTAAGCATGTGCTACGTAACAACCGTTCTGGCATCCTTATTGCTAGTGAGTTCAAGCCCCGGCCCCGTACATTTATTCCCTGCGCTGATTGCTTCCCCAGGTGGCCACCGTGGTGGTGAATCTTCGGTCTCGTAAGTTAATGCTCTCATATACGGTTTGACGCTTTTCTCTTCATTGACACTTCCGTCAGAGTATGCTTTCCAGACACCGACCAAGAGATTTGGACATATAATCGGACGATGGAGCGAGTGCTCTTTCGAGAGCCGTACAGAGTATGTGTTTTTATCGCTCTTCCCAAAACGATTCAGTGAAGTAAAACACATGCTTATACGCCATTGTACAATCTCAGCTCTCTTCTATCTCCTTGAGTCATACCGGATACTTGCTGTAAGCCCATATGGAATCCGCAAGGGATCAACCAGCTAACAAGATTAGAGCCACGATGGATAGTGGTCCAAATGGCGACTCGTTCCTCGCTCCACGTATGCTGCCTGACCTTGGTGAAGGCGGCGATTATCGTTGGCCTGCTTTCTGTATGTACACGTGCCCTGCTGGCAGTGTTTTGGGAGCGAACGTTGATTGACGTTCATCCCAAATTAGTCGCCCATCCAATTCGCATTCGTACTGAGTCATCCTTGTGGTGCTCGTCACCATGTCCAGAGGGAGACAAAGCACTCTTCGCGATTGGCACATCCGACGGCCTGTATACTCTAGAAGGATTGGGAAGTTATTGGACTCTATCCAAGAAGCCGTTCGCCAGCGATGTCTCCACCGGAAAGCCAATTTTCCATCGACGTACAGATTCCTCTCACGCACTAGTTACTAGCGTTGAATGGCTGTCTTCGACTGTCATCGCTGCTGGTCTGAAAGACTCAACCGTCTTCCTTCACGATCTCCGCAGCGGGGGGACTGCAACGCGTCTACAACATCCCCATGCAGTCACGAAGATCAGGAACCTTGATCCGTATCGAATTGTCGTGGCAGGTATAAACTCGGTACGCACCTCGGTCATGTCTTTGTCACCGTCCTAAAAATGAAGACTTCACTCTCCTCCCTTTTCAAGACAAATCAAGCTAATACGTTACCTATAGCTTCAAATGTACGACATCCGGTACGCACATAACGGCCTACAGCGCAATCCAAGGCCCAATCATCCGCGTCACACTTCGACTAGGCCATATCTCTCATTCTCCGACTTCTCACCGGAAGTCATCCCCGACTTTGATATTAGCCCTGAACTTGGGCTTCTGGCAAGCGGTGAGGTTACTGACCTTTTTGAACTCAGGGAAGCCTACTAATCCTGTGTCAATAGCTTCCGATGAGCGCAAGGTTCAATTGTTCTCCCTTCGTACTGGAGAACAAGTCTCTTCTCCTCTAACGAAATACCAATACGCAGATCCTATTTCCTCGCTACGGTTTGAATCGGGTGATGGGTCATTGCATGGGCCTCAGACCCCCACTCTACTGGTCTGCTCTAGTGCTACTGTTGATGAGTGGGTTTGGTAGGTAGATTCTCCGTGTATTGGCATCACCATGCCGGATATTATGAGCCTAGATCTAGGCTATTTGTATGCTGAGTCGTCGCATTATCATGAGTTATGATGTAACATCGCTTCTGTGGATATAAGCCAGCAATCGGGACTCCAATGAATGAACCCAGATAGTCGATTGACAGTCTTCAGTCCAATCCACCTGCCAGCCACTCTCCAACTTCCACTCCGATCCCCTTGGCCATCTCTCCAATCCAATCGCCGGAGACATTAACGCACCATTTCTCACCGGCGTCAGAGGTAGTATTACCGCTGCCCGAACCGCCAGCCCCCGCCCCCATGCGACTAGAGCTATCCCGACCCGCCGCAGGCACGACCAGCCGCAGACGCCGGAGCGTAGCCAGCTCCGCGTATATCGCATCCGCAACAGCCGTCATACGGATAGGATTTGCAGGAGGATTAGGATCGATAGCGTGGTAGATGGCGATCAAGCGCTCCAGGGGAAAAGGACGGGCAGTGAGGATTGTAGACGGGCCGGTGATACCGGGGGCGCCGCCGGAGGTAGTAGCAGAGGTGGTAGCGAAGGCGGACTCGAGCGTGGACTTTGTGATGCGCGTCTTCTGTCTCTTGCCCTTCTTGCCTGGGGTGGAGGGGTCTTGGCGGGCTGCTCGGGCGTCTTCGGCCTGCGCCTGCGAGAGGATCTTCAGGCGTCGTCTGTGATGGGCGCGCTTGTTGCGGGCTGATAGCGAGGAGGAGGAGAATTTGGAGAAGAAGATTGTGTCGAGGCGTTGAGGGGTGTGCGAGGCGAGGTAGGCGGAGGTGAGGATCAGAGTAGGGAAGTAGGGGAGGGAAGGGAGAGGGGAGGGGGCAGACGCTGCGGTCAGCGAGGGTTTGAGGCTGGAGCCGAAGCCGTTGGTCGTGGGGGCGGAGTCCTCGGTGACAATGTGGTGCACCAGCGCTGCTTCGCCTTGCTGGCGGAACAGCGCGCGGTTCTTGACCAACAGCCGGGAGAAGTCCCATTCATTGCCTCCCGGGGCCGTCTCGCCGGCGACGATTGGCGAGACGAATTGCGGCCAGAGTTTCTCGCATATTGACCGGAAGGTAGGTATCGAGCTGGCCGTGGGCCCGACCAGCGAGTCGTAGACGGCCGATACAAAATGGGGGTATAGCTTCGCGGCGGTTTCCTGCGGGAGTCCGTAGACTGGTGGTGATTTGGAGTTCAGGATGATGGCAGTGGCTTCTTTGCGCGTGTAGGGAGGGAAGCTGACGTGCGGGACCGCAGCAGACTGCAAGAAGAGAGGGCGCGGCGTCGAGCTGAGGATCAGAACGACACATAGTGAGGGGATCTGCTCAACGCCAAAGAATCGCGTCAACAACCATCGTCCACAGCGCTTGATTCTCTCATAAACACCGACTTACCACCTCCCCAAGCCTAGCCAGCGCAGCAAGAAGCGTCTGCGGCGCCTCCCGCTGCCTATCAATCTCGTCCAGCACAAGCACAAACTTCTCTGTCTTCCTGGCATTCGAAGCAAGGCACTCGGCAAGTAGCACAGCGAGCGTACTAACATGCTCGCACCGGCCCTTTCCGAACTTCTCCCACTCATCCTTGAGCCCCAATGCGTCCAGCGTGGCCCAAAGAATCTTCGTCAGCAGATGGCGACCCGTGATACACTCAGTGCTCCGAACAATGGCGTGTGGCACCGCAAGGGCGGAGA